ATCAAGAGAACCAAAATCCAGATCCAGATCCCGATCAACAAGAGGGTTGTGAGTAGTTCACTATCCGAATTTCCTTTAAGAACTAGTGAAGGTTGTCCTATAATGTTTAGTTTTTCGTTTTTCGTTTTTCGTTTTTTTTTTAATTTCTATTTGTTCTTTTAGAATAGACATTCATGTAACTCTATTGGGCATTCTAAATTACTGTGTAATGAATGTAAACCCTAATTATATTGTTCACTTCCGCATTTAATTTATGAATTTATTTTTATTTAAGTTTCGGACCTTTATGATTTTTATTATATATAAATTAAAATAATATTAATTAAAACATACAATAAAAATATCATATATAATGCATATATTAGCAATCATTTATAAATTTAAATACATGTTTTAATAACAAAAATGATTTATTCTAATAATTACTAGAGATGTGAGCATTAAACGATAATATATAATTTATATTAGTTGAATTATTTATATATTAATTAAATGTATATATAATATGCAATATATATTAGTTACGTTCATTAAAGTGGTTCACAAATAATTAAATTAGTTGTTAGTAAAAGAATTAAATCTTACTTAATTTACTATAAGTTAATTTATTGCATATTTACATATTTTTTAAGAAAATTTTAAATTTAAGAATGTAATGGTGATTGATTATAGAGTATATCACTAAGATGTGAAGTATAAGTTAAGAAATGACAACTCGCACACACAGACACATACGCAAATATACATATATAAAAAAGTAAATATAAAAGAAACAAATTTTTATTATAAATAAACAAATATAAAAGCTTGCTTTAAAAAAAAGAAAAAAAAATATAAAAGGAAACAAAAGTGTTGGAGATGGTAGTGAGACCAATAATTGTTTGACAAAATCTTAATTATATGACATTTGCCCGATTTGATTATTACCATTTCCATCACTTTTAATTAATAAGTTTCTGTATATATATATATAAATATATATAAATGAAAAATAAATTTTAATTGATTTACAGAAAAATTTAAATTTATTATTGTTTGCAAACGAACTTAAGCAATTTTACAGAATTTATTTCTAAATTTAAACTTAATTCAATAGTAGTTTATATAAAAATTAATTTCATACAAAAGTTTTTGAAAATTTAATAAAATGTAATTCAAACTCAATTTAAATTGAAAATTTTTGAAAATATATTATTTCCACCAACATAAAAGTTCATATTATATGCCGTTTTTATCATTTTAGAAAAGACTTTTACTATCAATTAAAATATGGATGAACAACATATAAATTTTAAATCATCAAGGTGAAATTAAGTTATGATTGGACTGAATTTATGTATCTTAAACTTTGTTAAGTAAATTTTTCCAACAATTAGCTCCCATGAAAATTAAGAATACAGAAAGATATGTTTATAGTTTTGCCAATTGTATTTATAGTTTTTGTTTACTTTAGGCTCAATAAATTTTCTTTTTTAAATAGTTATATTTATAATCATATAGAAATCATGAATCTTGAATTCATGATAGATGAATTATGAAAACTAAAATATTTTCTAATTAAGTATATGTTTAATTAAGTTGATCAGTAGTGTGAAATTAGGTAGAATATTATATGGTTTCCAGTTGTGCAGATGGTACCAATCATGCAAACATTCTTTCAAGTGACAATCAATCACAAATTTACACATATACAACATTATATATATATATATATATATATATTCGGGGGCAAGGACAGATACAGAGAGTCAACTCGAAATAAATCTTTCCCCAAAACCAAGACACTAGTTGATAATACAGTCTACAAATTCTGCTCATTAATGGAACATATACATATATTAATGTATATAGCATTAATTGCTTCGTAAGTACGTTACAATAATTGATTTTTTCTATTATATATATTATATATAGAGAGAAGAATATGATTTTATTGTAGAATATTCAGTAGATCACAAGAATCTAGAATAGTGGCCAAATATATGAAGTGAAATAAATTAGTTAATTTCACATTCTGATCATGATAATTAAAGTTGTAACATCCATTCCGCCAAGTAATTTAGTTTCATGTCCGTGTGTGTGAATATATACAGACTGTCAAAACATCCTGTGTTTGTACAATAACTAAGTCTCCATTTATATCAATAGACAGCACTGACTTGATGATCCAGAAAATAAATTTATTCATATGTATATATACTTATACATATTAATACGCTATACAAAAGTAACTAATAGAGACAAAAAAAAACGAATATATATATATAGTTAGATATGCATGTCTAATATGGAGAGCAAAATAAATGTCAAAGGCAGCTGTCATGAAGTTGAAGATGATTGAAAAATGGCGACTGTATCTGTTGGGTAACAATTATAAGTGCACACATATACACACAGATATATATATATATATATATATATATATAAATATGAATGTACGTACGCATGGCAAAAACACGCTTCACAAACTTAGCTGTCTTCCAGTCTGAAGGCCCCCAAAATAAGACGACGGTAGACGGTGTTATACGCAGTGATGAAGCTGTGAAGCTGCCTCCAGCTCATCACCACGGCCAAATTCAAACCCCCAAACACATTAATTTCAAAAGCATATGTGTGTTTGTGTATGTGTGTGTGTGTATATATATATATATATTCTATTTTAAATTATTGAAAGACAAACCTACTTACGTCCACTTCGAATATCGCTACATGCATGCAATCACATTGTATGAATTTCAGTCTAATATGGTTGATTTCAATCATCCATTATGGTTCGTCAAAAGTAATAATTAATAAATATATACGAAAAAAATATGAAACTTATAATTAAATTATAGACATAATTTCCATTTTGCAAAATATACAACCATATCAATCAAAGCTAATATACATACTACTTCCAGAAAAACAATCATCAGTAAGTACAATTTGTCAAAGTGACAGTAACATGCATGCGATCAGACCATCAAGTTCTAATGTAGTATGACATATACATATACGTATAAATATGTATGTATCTATACATGGATCGTTTATCTTGCCATATTACATATATAAGAACCTAATTTAAGTTAGCCTTACAGCCTACACGCCTTGATTATTGTACGTATTCAACAGGTTTTGTTTGTATCTGAACGCTCATGCTTCTATATGCTGCTCATACATGTAATATAAGAAAAAAGTTAATAAAAACTAGTTTAGCTCATATATATCTATATATATAATGATAAATAAACGAAATAACATGTCGACTTCAAAATGCAAAAATTAACATTTACATTCAAAGGCAAAAATACATTGTTAAGTTGCTACAGTCCAAGGAAAAGTTCTAAACAAATTGACAATAACTTAAATCTATATTATTTCTAGTTAACAAATAATATATAACTTAATCTATATTATTTAGAAAATTCCAAAATTGCCATGCACCCTTTAACTGCGAGCACATCTTGATTTAATTCTTTAAGAATATCTCAAAAGATTGGAAGATAGTTTCCTGTAATAATGAACTAATTAATAAAAATTAGGCATATGTATTTTTCAAATATATAATTAACAAAGGAATTAGAAATAATTTGGTATATCCAGAAGACAATTATTAATGTCACTAATTATATATTCTGCACAAAGGATTTTCAAATATTCGATATTAATTAAGCTTACTCAACATCACTCCAAAAAAAAAAAAATCAATCAATCAATTTAGGTTTTTGGCTAATGAAATTAATGCACACAGGCAAACCCAATGGTCTACTTATGGAAATCTTCCTCTAACACACGCCATGAATTCTTATCTAAATCCAACTCAACTCATATCCTGCTCTTAATTAATTAATTTTCCTAATCTCTTGCTAAATCCTATAATAACCATACCTAATTTCTTCATAATGAGGTTTTTTTTTTATATATTTCTGGTCAATCTGTGATCATACTAATTCTTTTATCCTAAGATAAAATTATTATTTTTATCTAAAAAATTTATACAATCTAATAGGTATTTATATCTTTAATGAAAAAATAATAAAAATAATATGCAAGTAAGAACACAGTAAACACAACTCATTTCAGAATTTATAATCTCATTAAAAAAATTAGAAATATTAGCTATCCAGTGAAGATAAAATTAGATATTGATGCAAGATTTAAACCCAAATGACTACATAAGTAAAAATTCTAGCCGATATGGGATCTATATATCTATATATGCAATTAAAATATAATATAAATAATCTAATATTTAATGTATAAGTAAGTTAAAATACTGTAGCTGCAAATTTTTTTTTAAAAAAAATCACTTTACAATTTAGTAACGGTAATCAAAGATTCAAACTCAATTGCTTGGAAAATTCTTCACCCATGTATCACATGATCATGTGGGTTTGAAATTGGTCGGTTTCTATTGACTTTAATTGGGCACCTAGCTAGCTAAATTTTTAGTATTTAAACTTATAAATTAACAGTTGCAGAAACTTCATATAGATTCATAGTGTATATTTATAATATAAGGCAACTTAATTATTCTGTGTTATGAACCAGTATACTTACCGTTATGCATACATTTTTGGTCAATTTCCTACTGCTGTGTTTAAATTATTTAAATACAATTGGATTCACAGTCATGCACTATTGGTTTACATGACTTTTGTTAAGATGAACATACACATATATATATCTATATACCCTAAAGAAAATGTTTGTTGCAGATTTCAAAATGGCAGTAGTCATCACATAATTCTGATGGTGTTGGAAGAGAAATGAGCCATTTTCAGGATTGAGCCACAATGAACCTATTTCATTTTATAGCTTATATCACCCGCATTATCTCCAATACTATGGTTTGTGGACTTTGGTGCTGTGTGATTGTTTCTTAACTACTACCATACATACATATACTATGTGTGTGCATATATATATATATATATATGCTTTTTTTTGGGTCTTATTTCAATGATAACAGAGCACCAAATATTGAGTTGATGGAGGCAAAATTAATAAGAATATTAAAAAGAAAATTCAACCTCTTAATTTCATCACTAGCAGAATCAACAGAACTAATTAAAAGGAAAAAAAATTAAAGAAAAGAAAACATCTTGTGAAGATGAAAGTTGGAGGACAAACCTCTGGAAAAGTTCCCCATATATATATATATATATGAATATATATATTCTCTCCTCCAAAACATGCAAGTAGTAGTAAAGGTAAGCTAGATGGAGCCTTGTCTTGTGAGCTTATGAAGGAGAGCAGTGATAAGAGCGTCCCTCTTTTCGGCCCTAGCTTCTTCTCTAATCCTCCTTTGTTCTTCTCTCTCTCTCCACCTTCTATCCATCACTACCCTCTCCTTCTCTAATGCCTCCATCATCTGTCTCCATTCCATCTCTTTCATCTTCCTCTCCTTTTCTCTCGCCTCGAATGCTTCTCTCCATTCCATTTCTATTTGCATCTGTTGTTTCATAAACTCCTCCAGTATCTCTCTCATGTTCCCACTACTTCTGTTACTGCTAATTCCAACGCTACTACTACTCCCCCTCCCTTTCTTCTTCTTCTTCCTCGTGTTCTGATCTCCTTCGCTCTCCTCCTGATCTTCTTCGTCTGAAGATAACTGCACCGCCTTCTTCTTTGACCCGCTCGCCCCTCCTCCTTCTGCTTCTGCCCATAACATTCTGTGCATCCTCCCTGCAAATATTGCCTGCAACTCGTTGTAGAAAGGGAATTGTTGCCTCACGGCTTCAGCCTCCATCGTTTCACATCCCTAATAGATATACCCACATCATGAATACATATTTTGCATAATAGGGTTTCTTTTTTCCCCCTCAAAATATACAGAATTACTATAAAGGAACGGTTTTGATTTATGTGTATGTGTATATATATAGATACCTTGTATCGAGTTACTAGGTTCTTCCACTTGCACTTGCACTGTTCTGCGCTGCGATTGTAACCCTTTTCCTTCATCTTGGAAGAGATAACTTCCCAGAGAATTTTATTCCTTTTTGTTTCCATGAAAGTCTGGTCAAGCTCTGCTCTGATCATCAAGAATTCCTTAGTTTCTTGAGTACTCCATTGAGGAAACCTATCGGCCGGTTCAACGTTAACCGGGATATGGTGCTGCGGCTGGAGATGATGTTGCGGCTGATGAAGATGTTGATGTTGATGATGATGATGGGGGTGATGATGGTGGTGTCCTTCCATAACAACCAAACACACGCACACAGGCAAATTAAACTTTGCAGGATAAAAAAAAAAAGATCAAGAAGAACTGAAAAAGAGAAAAGATAAGAAAGAGAAAGATGATAAAGAGTTGTATATGACGGGTAGTGTGAATAGACGGTGTGAATCGTCAAGAAGGAAGAACTAAAAAAAGAAATTAAAAAAACAAAAGAAAATTTTAGAGGAATGTTTAAAATTGTTCGTTCAGATTTTAGAAAAGGAAATCAAAAAACACTTTTTCTTTCTCATATTAATCCTATTTTTCTTCTCTCACTAAGTCTCTATCTCTCTACGCGTAAACTCATTATCTCCCTTTCTTTTTATTCTTTTTTTTTTTAAAAAAAAAAATACAAAATTGCTTCCCCATTTGTTCAGACTGCGTTTTAGTGACGTCACGCTTACGTGAATATTTCCAGGTTGTGGGGCTTTATTCTCTGCAACCAGTTGTACAAAACTTGCACTCCAAGCTATTTCTTCTTTTTCTTTTCTTTTTTATTTCATTGATATAAAAATTTGTCAACTTTCTGGTCCATTTTCTTTTTGAAACCGTGTGGAGGTGACGGAGTTGGGGACTTCACTTACGTGGAAGGATTTTACGGCTCTAATTATTTTTTGCATGCATTTCTGCAATCTAATTTTTTTTTTAAAAAAAATTATCTCCTTTTATAGTTTTAATAATATTTATAAATTAAAATCAACTCCTTTTACAGTTTTAATAATACTTATAAATTAGATTTATCTCTCTCTTTATGTTAATAATAAATAAAAAAATAAATTATTTTGTTAAATTTTACTTACGCGGTATCCTGTCATGTCCCACGTGTGGCAGCCCACCATCTTTATCCACGTGGCGCCCATGCAGGCATCATATGACTGATTATCTGTTTCGGAAGGGAATGGACCCCACTCTCCCTATGTTTCACACCTATGATCTCTTCTATCTCCTTGCCCATATATTATTTTTTGACCCCACAATGCGTATCCAAACCACTCACTATATATATATATATATATATATATATATATTTGGAAGTACCTCCTTTTCCTTTATTTATTTATTTATTTAATATAATTGAAAGTATTATTACATTAAGACAATTTCTTAATTATATATGTCAATGCTAGGAAAATGAAAATAAATTTTGCATTGAAAAAATTTCGAAAAGACATTTTTGTTTTGTTGTTCCAATACAATTAATTATAATAACGTACCACTCGATAACAACTCGGTATCAAACTATCAACGTCGATTTATTTAAAAAATAATCTTTAATTAATTATGACTATACATCTCGCGTAATTTAAAGTTTAACACCGATAATTATATTATATTAGTTATGACCAAAACATATACATATGCATGTTATATAATACATATAGAGCACACAGATTTTGGTGTGAACATCGAAGAAAAGTAGAAGGATCGTTGAATTTTTAAGATAAGATCTAGTTGTATTATATCCTGTTTGGAAACACATGGGCAACACCAGTGAAAGGTAAGGAATCGTAAATTAAACTTGTGAAAATGGAATAATTAATATATTTAATGTTATTTATATACTTTAATATTTACATTCATTATGAAAACTATAGAGTTAAATATCTTAAGGGATTAAAGTGATATGAAGATGTTGAAAAAAAAAGTAGAAATTATAATTTATTTTATTTATTAATTTAAATTTAAATAGAATTAATCTCTACTTAGATTTAAAATACATTTATTTTAAAAAAAATTATATTATTAGTTGAAGTTTATTTTTTAAAAAATTTGATTTATATTTATCTTTAGATTATAATAGATTATTTAAAAAATTGAAATCGATTTAACTCTATTTAAAGTCACTTTAAGTTATTAAGTGGGAAGGGAGTGAATTCAATAGAAATTTAGATTTTCTTCATCCCAGAAAAATTCCAATAAATAGTATTAAAGTCTTTATTAGTTATGAATATGTGAAAAAATAATTTAAAGAGAAGAGTGATGAGGAAAAGAAGAAAAAAAATCATGGAGAGAGACTTCATTGCAAAGATGTCAAACCTTCATCAACATAAAAAAGTAAAAATTTCTACCATGCAAAATATGCAAGAAAAACAATCATGATGAAAAAGATTGTTCGTGCAAAGATTGAAGAATGAACAAGCAAATTTTGCTCAGGTAAGAAGAATTTTTTTTGAAAATTGGAGAGAAATGCTCCAAGAGATTTTGATGAGAAGTGCATTAAATAATTAACAATTGATGAGAAGTACATCAATAATCGGAGATTGGTGAGAAGTGCATCAACAGTTGAAGATAAATGTTTTAAAATATGAAGATCAAATAAGAAATATTAGAGATAAGTGCTCAAACAAAATAAATTTGGTGATTATAATTTTTACATTAAGAGAAAGTGTTGAAGATAAATATAAAAATTATAATTTATTTTATTTATTAGTTTGAATTCAAAAAAAATTTATGTTTAGTTAGATTTAGAACGTATTTATTTTTAAAAAATCATGTTATTAATTGAAATTTATCTTTTAATAAATTTGATTTATATTTATCTTTTAAATTATGACAGATTAGTTTTAGAAAATTTGAATTTGATATAAGCCTTTTAAAGATAATTTAAATTGTTAAATGAAAAGAGAGTGAAGTCAATGTAAATTTAGATTTTCTTCATCCCAGGAAAATTCCAACATAAGTAAATTAATATATTTTTTAAGAATACTTGATTTTGACAATATAATACTTTTAATAGTTGACAATTTAAGTTTGAACCTCCTACTTTAAAAAAAATTCTAATATATAATTTATACTAAAAAATTATTGTTTTTTAGATAATTTATATTACATTAATATAATTATGTACTTAAATTTAATATGTATACTTAATGCATACCTAAACAACAAGAAACTTAGTAGATGAAGGAAAATAATAAATAAAGGAATGCAAAAAGAGTAGATGAACAAAAAAAAAAAAGAGAGATGACCAAGAACTAACAAGGTTTTTAACACTTTGTATATAGGTAGATGGAATTTCTTTTTTAATTTAGTCAAATACAAATTCAAATTCCAATTCCAATTTAAACCTAAAAAATATTTGTTTTAGTTAACAATCAGATCTTGAACTTGAAAATATTTAATTTTAAAGTTCATATACGTGTTTGGTTTTATTTATAATTAATATATTTTATTACAACATATAACATATGATATTTTTTGTTTACAATTATATTTTATATAATATCGTAATTTTCATATATAATTAATTAATTCTATTACCGAAAATGAAGAATTGGTGTGCAAAGATTAAGCTCCAACAATTCAATAATAAATTTTAATTGTATTTTTAGTTATCATACAAATCAATATTTCTTATATCATATACATACAATATATTCACTAATATTCATATATATGAAGAGAAATGTTGAATATTAAATACTAAAAATTTAAAAAGAAAAAAAAAAGATTAACAAATTAATAACAATATACTCCTTGACCAATAGTTCATGACTTTTTGTCACTTTAAAATCAATAAAAAAAACCAAAATTACATAAAATTTTTAAATAATAATAATATTATAAAGAAATAATACAAAATACTTCACTGCTCGTTCAGCCCTACTTCAACATGTATCTAATTCTGATATATATATATATATGTCAATTAAAATTTATTGATTTTTTAAACAATTTAGATAAAAAAAAAAATTACTCAATTTTGAATACTTTATACTATATTCTGTATGTTTTTCCTCGTTTGACTTTGAGGTCTTATATAAGTTTTTTATTAGAAAAAGATTTTCATTAATGAATAATATTTATTTAAAAAACTGAATTAGTTGACGACAAAAATTCTTCTTTTTGATGATTATTTTTAAACTTGTTGGACGTGAACTGATTTAGTTATTTGGAATATGTTTCTAAATTTTGCAACCGACCAGATTTTGTTTATATAATTCCCATATATAGAGTTTTAGGCACTATCCGATATTTATTAATTTGATAATAAGTATAGTAAATTACATTGATAATTATTTATATAATCTTATGTTAAATGAGGTTACATGTATAATTGATACTTATGTCCACATAGATATTAATTTGATAAGGATATCATATTGGGAATCTCATAACCTAATGCATGACTTATATATCCAAAAAAAAAAAGAAAAGAAAAGAAAAGAATCTTCTTTCTTTACTTTATTATTATTATTATTATTATAACTATTTATTAATTAATTAATTATCTGACCAACTTTTGCAAAATCCAATTAACCGACGGTGAAAAAACTGGTTTGGGTTGACCGTGTAGGTTGACCATTAGGGTAAATGTGGAGAGTTGTCCTATGAGAAATGTATACGTGGATGGACAATCAAATGCCACGTGTTTTGCTGGGCATGACTTCTATTCTTCGTGGGCTTGGAAACTGAAACTTGGGATTTGAAAAGTAACGTGATTGACCCACTCTTTTTGTCAATGTTGGATCACCTGCCTGCCTCTTTCATTTCCCGCTTTCCTTGCTCTTCTGTTTTTTTTTTTTTTTTTTTCCCAAGAAGAATTATAATCAAACTGAGTGGAATTAATACAATTAAGAATTTATAATTACAATAAGATTAATTCTATCTAATATATTCAAGGAATTATGTTAAAAAATTTTAGAATTAAAATTAAATTAAATTAACTAGTAAACATCTTGGTTTCAAACACTACTAACTCAATAATTTTTAGGATCTTAATCACTAATACTTAAAATATTTACTATCAAATTATTAGTAGTATATGACTTAAACCTTTTATATAAAATTCAATGTAGAACTTATTTATCATAATTTCCACTGCTCAAATCTTTAATATATCATCAAGACTATATAGAATACAATCATAAAGTAATAATTCAAAAACTCACAAAGTTAAAAATCATATCAATTATAGTAATTGAATTTACATGTCTTCTGATATTATTTGTAACACCACTAATCCAATCAATTTTCAGACTCAAATTGTTAGTCTTCCAAAACTTAATCTCAACATTTATAACATATAATTTAACATTTATACAAAATTCGATAATTATATATGTTTTCAACGTAGAGTTAGAGTATTACATAACATAATCTTGTTAATAGTAATTATGTTAAGGTGTTAGTTAGTTTCATTTTTTTTCTTAATCAAAACAAATTTGATGATATTTTCCTAATTATGAATAATA